ATTGGAAACTTGGAATTGTTGAAAGGCTGCCTTATTTCGTTTTAACGAAATATAAAATCTTAATAACGAAATATTGATTCGTTAATACGAAATATTATTTCGTGATTACGAAATATATAAATTCGTTATTACGAAATATTATTTTATAATAACGAAATATTAATTTGTTATTACGAAATATATTTATTCTGTGGTTATATCTATAAAGAAGGATTTCGAAACTAAGTTTATTGTTAAATATAAGTCAAGAAAACAAAACATAAAAAGTGATTTGTTTCAATCTTAGTACTATATATAATTATTAATCGAGCCATTAGGCTTATAATAGTTATATTTGGTGACCAATCTCATTAAAATCTGATCATATTGAATAATCATTTGATTTTGACAAGAATAATTAATTGCATCATATTGTATCATAGTTTTAATGACATACTTTAGAATTTTTAAGCGGCCATTTTGAATTGACCTTATGAAGGTCAATGTCAGTTTTATTTTCTTAGTATCCACCCTCATCGTCTTCAGCATACCCATATTAGGTTCAAATACTCAAGATATCACTTTTACTATATTTTTTAATGCCTCTACCATTCATATTTTCTTGAAATCAGGCCTGTGTTTTATGAAAACAGTATTGTTCGATTCCACTTCGGTTCTGTTCGTATAGTTTACGATCATTAATATTGAGTAAATACAATCCGTTTTGAAAAGTCACACTAGCTTAATGTATAGATCGTCACTACATTGACAACAGCAAAGTCGGTTAAGTGGCTTCGTAATATATGAGAAGTATGTGGTTTGATCCTAATTTTCCCATTGCTTAAGGCATACCCTTTTTTTTAGGTTTGAAGAATATTTTTTTTAATAGAATGGCTGATTGCTTGCGAAAGTGTCCATATGGGTATGAAGCAACCTCAAAGCACTGTTTTGTCTCGATTTGTATTATTTTACGGCATTGAAATGACATTTATTGATTTTAACCCGAATGAATGTTAAATATCCATTCTTAAAAAAATGTTGCTTAAAAAGGTATGGCTTTTACCAAAATAAGTGCAAGACATATTTAAACAAAAAGAGTACCAATAAAAAATTGTAGCCACAATAATGTTGAAAAAACATGAATAACCAAAAAACATGAACCTACGCCGTTTTTATCTTAAACACGTATAGAAATTATACAACCGTAGTTTGCCCTGTTGCGTTATAACGCTCAGTGACACAAATTAAATTAAATTAAATTACTCTTACGGAACTTACGGAAAATATATCGAAGATTAATATATATTGTAAGCATTGACTGTATAATCAGTATGCAATTGACAAGTTATAAAAATCATACAATACCCTATTTGTCAATTACATGCATTATGTAAACAGATTATGAAAGGAATAACAAATTCGAGCTTTACATAGAGGATTTTTATTTGTTTAGTATGTAAAATCGAAATATCACGCCGTGAACACCACATGTAATATATTTACGACGAATGCAACAATATGAGTTGGTATTCATGAGTGAAATATAATTAGATCTTTACAAATTTCGACCAAATATATCTTGAATTTCATAGCGTAAAGCCTAAACGGTGCATATAATGATATTTAAACATTATTGCAATTCACGACAGTACAAAGGGAAAGTTCAATAGAGTTTTTGAAAGACTCGGACGCATATTTTGCAAGCAATAATGCAAAACTAGAATACATGTTTTGTTGAATAAAGAAAATAAAAGCTCAGAAAAAAAAATAAATGAAAAAATAGCACGTGCACCGGTGCTGCGTTTCAAAGACACCATGGGACGTTAGACAAACTCTTGGACTAACTTAAGATCGTATTAAGTCATTTTTTCTCGTTATTCAAAGATCAAGTAATTCTCCTTAGAAAGATAAAAAAATACAATGTTACGCGTTGTGAACCGCAAAGTGTAATCGTTCGTGTATGTGATAAAATATTTTACAAATTTTAAAGTTTAAAAACAGTAAAATTAAGTTGTTTTCAGAACTTAATGGTCGCTTCTTGAAACATGTGTCCGATAGGATGTTTCTGTTATATAACACGCATGAAAACAACACGTTAACAGAATAAAATGTCAAGGAACAAAATATCCTGCCGCTATTTAAATAGGTTTTGGCGACGATTTCAGGCATGTCCATTTTTGTTACAAATGTAATAATATGCAACAATTCTTTTTTTCAAGTTTCTACCACAATATATACAATAATTTTTTACAATCGCAATACAGCAGCATTATACATAATTTTATAACAATATTTATATTGCTACTAAATATTCAGATCCGATACTAATTAAAGCCCCTGTACGTTGTTATTAAGGTTGTTACCACATTTAAATAAAATCTTATATATAATATTATGTACGACATATAATTATGCTTATCAAACAATTTTCAAACATCCAAAAAAATACGAAAAATATGTACTACAAATATTTGTCCACATTATATGTAATAATTAAAACAGATGCATACATTTCATATTGAAAAAAAAATGAGTTAGACTTTATAGAAAATAAATTTCTAATTACCTCCCTTTATCAACATGAAATTTTAAGTCGGTAATATCTTTACAAATAATACTTTTTGGAACTTACAATTTGGACATATCTTCATTTGAGCATTATATTTATGATATAAAACTATTGGGGAAATTGAGTTACAGAATCTTTAAGTAAAATAAGATTTAATAATGTCTGTCTATTTTGACCAGCTATAGATAATTTTTGTGGATATGTCTTGAGAACAGTCTACCTTATTAGAACATTTGCTATGTTTTTTATAAAAGATACAACACTGTAATTGAATAATCAGAAAACTATACAGATAAATTGTGAGCATTGAATAAATGAATATTCAATATTGAATTTATTGAACGAGTTGAATAATACTTTATTGAACAGAGTTCAATAAATTTAGTAATGAAGTAACACAAATATGATTTTCTTTTTATCACATATCCACATAAGAACCGTTTGCAGTAAAAAAAAAATTTCATTGACGCGACTATAGTGTGACGCTAACTCGTATAATGCAAATTTCGTCACGTCAAAATATATTCGCGGCAGTGCAATTACGTTTTTACAGAGTCACACAAAGGCACGGCTTTTTGATAAATAACATTCCTTATATAATTCACTTATTCGCAGGTAAATATGTTGATACTAATTTGTAATCAGGTTCTTTATTTTAGGTTTTTTTTTTGAAAATACAACATTCTAAAATCATTCCTGTAAACGAAGTTCAGTTTTTTTGTTCTACCCGTTATAGCATAACATAATTTATGTAACAAAGTCATCCATAAAATTAAATCGCCTATAAAATAACCGACCTGATAAGTCTTTATTTATTTTAATACATAAGTAGTCTAACGTACGTATATATAGACACGTTTTATACCAAAAGTAGCTGTAAGTATAAAAATATAAGACAAATGTATAGTAGTGTAGCAAAAAAAGATAATAGAAATACAATAGCTAAGAAAAACATTTTAGTTAAGTATAGTCAATTTATTTTGATAAAATCTTACTTTAAGTCCATGCTTCTACAACTTAACCATTTTGCTTAAATACGCTTTTAAAATATATTTACGTAAAGGATATTTTATCTATTAAACTAAATATATTCGGTGTACTAGTTAGTGACCGGTTGTTCAAACTTACGTAAAAATGTGTCCAATCGTCAGGTCTTTATGATTAAATACTTGTATAGAATTAGTCAATTTACGTCAACGTTTCTTTTAAATAGCCGAAATAATACCAGCATGGGAAGATAAACATTTTGGTATTCACGTGGCAACGGTAAGGAGCTATGCTAACATTAGCTTTATTAGGGTATGAAATGATGAACGCATGATAGTGTAAGTATGAGGCCCATCTTTAATGTAAGTAATGCTTAATGTGTGTTTTTTAAAGATAACCGACTTGCCGAAATGAGTATTATGAACTTTTTTTAATCAAGACCAGTTAAACTATATTTCTTGTTCAAAAGGTCCCGAGTTTCGAGAAACTTAAAAAGTTGCCTCGTACTTCAGTGTTTTATATTTTCTGGTCCTTCGGGATCATTGATTAAGAATTTTTAATTGTTATTAAATATTGAGTAGATACCGCTCAAGCCGGTAGGCGGGAGAAATGATGCATTTTTTTATTATCCCTCATGTACAGAGATTTTCTCTTTAAAGTACAAATGACTGTTGTTTATTCGGTCGAGTAAAAATGTAAGTAAGGACACATAGATGTGTATATTTGGTTGTTTTTACCCTTACAATATGTGCTGATTAAATGGATCCGAAGTAACGAATCAAATGGAAACTTTAAAGTCGCCATACTTGTATTATGATGTGATTATTTTTCTTCCATAATTGAGCCGTGTCACGACAAAACCAACATAGTGGGTTTGCGACCAGCATGGATCCAGACCAGCCTGCGCATCCATGCTATCAGTTTCTCTACTTGTTATAGGGTTAGTAAGCGAACAGCATGGATCCTGATCAGACTGCACGAATGTTCAGGCTGGTCTGGATGAATGCTGGTCGCAAACCCATTATGTTGGTTTTGTCGTGACAATTGTGCTTCATTGTACAATAAACAATGGTTTTAATTTTGTGTCATGAATATAGATTTAGAAAAAAATTCATAACGAAGATTTTTCACAACTTTGTTATAAATAGTTGCTCATTGGCTATATATTGCTTTTCGACGTTTCATACTTTTTCATTTCTTTGCTGATGATGTTTTTTTACAGTACATCAAACGCTTTATTAGATACAAATGAACATTTCTTTTGTTAAAAGAAATCGTTCTAATCTACAGATGTATTTTAGTAATCACATATGATTGTCCATAACCCTGAATGGCCTCTTAAAGAAAAAAATAATAAGTGGTTGTTAATTCTTTACGCAATTGAACAACAATCGCTTTAAACTAAGTCTGTATTTCAATATTTATCTAGTAAAGACTGCACTAAGGTATATAAGCTTTGGAAAAATTTGAAATCATCACCAAACTGAAAGAATCGTTGAGGTAAAAATGAACTCCAAACTTGCTCTCGTTTTGATCGTCGCCATCGTTGGCATTGCCGAGTGCAAACCAAATGCTGACTTGAGGGCAAGAATGATTGCAAAGGCTCAGGCCGCAAAGAGAGGTACGTTGCTTTATTTCCGTTCTGATTTTGCCGTGGTTTTTTCATAACTTTTTATTTTAGCTATGTATTTGGGCATTTTTTATTTTGCCATGTTTTTTTTTCATATGTTTATTTTAGCTATGTATTTTTTTTTATTTTGCGATGTTTTTTTCATAGCTTTTTATTTTAGCTATGTATTTGGGCATTATTGTTTTTTTTATTTTGCCATGTTTCTTTGTTGTTTTTTTTGCTATAATTATGTTATTTATTTTTCACTACTTATAAGACAGTTAAATTGTCCTTTTTCATAATAAGTTATGTTTTAGGTACATATTTAAATATATTTTAATATTGAATAGTATGTTTTATTTCTACAATTTATTTTTTATCTATTTGTTTCAACATTTCATTGCCAGCTTTACTTCCTAAATGTTTTTTTTTCTTTTTCTTATTTAACACAAAATTGAGACAGTTACATGTATCTGGCATTTTCAAAATTCTATTTTTAGCTATTTGTCAAGAAGTCTTAGTTACAAAATATGACATTTCTTGCGATAAGATATGTGTTTTCCTAGTTAAAACAAGTCTTAATTTTGCATTCATATTAGAAAAATTATAACAGGCGTGTAACATCAGTTATTATATTATTTAATATACATTTTGTTTGTTCATAACATTACTTAAAACATCATTTTTACTCACCTAGAATTTTTGAATTGAATTCTTTTTTTAAATGTTTCTTTTAACTAATTAATTATTTGATTAAATATTAATTAATTCATTCATTCATTTATTTAAAAATTAATTAATCAATTAATTAATTTTTAAATAAATGAATTAATGAATTAATTTCTGTTGATGTTCCTATATAGACAATTATTTGTATAAAAGCACTGCTACACTGTGCTTTATTATTATAACATAAGATAAAGCTATGAAGCCATACACTTAATCCCGCAAGTTCACATTTTCATGTGATTTTCAGAGAACTTAAACCGTCATCTTGAAATTGCAAAGGAAATTAAAGAAATTTATAACTACATAATCTGTTACAAAAATATCTGACCTAGCTCAACTGATTGATCGGGTTTACTTTTGTGTGATGCTGTTTTGAGCAGTAAATCTAGTAAATAGTAGGATAAGCGGGGCTTAATTTTCCTCGAAAGGTCCTTTATTTTTTATGTTCAATAAATACAGTGCTATTTGATTTAACTTCATGTGCTTCTCGTGTTACAGGTGCAGATGAGTGGCCCTATGGCTGGTTTGAATGTAAGTTTATACTTCTGTTATAAATAGGAAAATGTAAATAAAGAAAGAAAATTTGATAAGGTCATTCTAGTTTTATGATTTAGGTTAAATATTTGTTAAAATTCTGTTGTGACGCTAGTTTTAACCATTTTCTTGGAGATTGGCAGTATTGGTGTTTGTTTATTCGGAAAAATATGGTTGTCAAACTGACCATGTCTGTGTCTAGTGGTGGTTATCTAAACATCTACATACTGACAAAGGACAAATTACACAACATAGATCAGTTTTTATCCCGAATTACCGGAAAAAAATATATTTATTTTTGCCAACAGTCGTTTAAAGTCTTGTCATACATTTTTCTTTCAGATGCTTCACTCGTAGGAAAATGCGTTGGTGCACTGAACTGGCTCGAATTCCTTGAAATGGACCCACGTAAGTTTTCTTTTCGTTATCATTATTTTGCTTTTGTAAAGAGAGAAAACTTTATGAATGAAGTCAAAGCATTATGAGTACACCCTTTTCAGGGCATTAATCTCTCCAGATACATGCTAATTTTCATGAAAATTTTGAAAATTTATTTGAATGTGTAATATTGTGAAGTTACCAAAAGGAAGCAATTTACACATTATCAATGGCATTAACAGACCACGTAAATTATACAGACCACGTAAATTACCAAAAAGTGGTCAAAATATGCATTAATAGCCCTATTGCGTTCGTAACGCAGTAGAAATAAAGGTTGTAAATACTGAAAAATCAGTCATTAATCGCACGAAATATGTAAAATATTACTTGAATATTGAAATATTTATATTTCTTTACATTTTAGTACATTTTTCTCGAGTTTTATTATATTGAAATATATTGATTCATCTGGGGGCATGTAGCTTTAACAACAGTCCTATTTCTTTTTCTCATATTCTTTTGTCACAATTTACAAATCATTGGCATTGGAAACAGGATGCTAAGAATGTTACTTGGATGGTTTCTTTTGTATTATGAGTTTATTGGAACACATTTGATATGTTTTTTTTATTTGTTTACTTATATTTTCATTGGTACTTTCAAAAAATGGGAGAGAAACATTGAAATATTCATATTTTACGTCGAGTGGTCAACGTCGTCTGCTTCAAAACACTTGCTCCTCGTCACTTAGGGTTAACTCCCGATAGGGACTTTAGATTTTGTCATGTGAGGAAGCTATCAAAGTAGCTTACGGAACGTCAGTGGTTCTACTCAAGTGCCCGTTCAGGCCTGAAATAATGCAAAGACGGCCACATGAGGTGTTCCTCCACCAGAAAACAAAACAAAACTGGAGGTTTGCCATATGACCTAAACTTTGTTGGTGCGATGTTGAACCCGGCAAAAAAAAGACATACCATCAAGAATGGACTAAATCATGTATAAAAATGGGTCTCCCTTATTTATACAACACATGGCGTTAACGAGTATTGCCAAGTAGAGTTACATGTATTTTTTTTAATCAAAAATACATTTAATGTTTGTGAATTGAAATCTCCTCGATTTTCTTCTACATACATGGCAAATGAAACCTTTTTTATCGTGTTCAACATTCGAAGATTCTGCATTTTTTTTCAAGGATTTTTTGTTTTTTGTTTTATTGTTTTTTGTTGTTTTTTTTGCTTCTTTTGTAATTTATTGCTTCCAAGAGTTAATTCTTTTTTTTTTCAGAATTTAACTCAAAGGAATACCATCAATCAATTACTAATCAGCAACTAAATATTGCTGCATATTAATATGTTAAACAGAGGAAGATCTGGAATTTAATCAGATTGAAGAATCTTTATAAACATGTGTAAAAATTACATTTTGTATTTTTTTCCGTTGCAGCAAAGGAAGGTATGCTAGCTGAGGCCTGTCCAAAAGCTATTGAACTCGCCGAGAGTATGAAGGTAATCTTTTTTGAGCCGCGTCACGACAAAACCAACATAATGGGTTTGTGACCAGCATGGATCCGCGCAGTCTGATCAGGATCCATGCTGTTCGCATATATATGCAGCTTTTTCGCGTCTTCTAAGAAACGGTATTGCACCACCGTCCATACATTTTTATTGTACGGTCATTTGCGTAATATAGATGAAGCGAAAAAAGGCTAAACTAAAGGTGCGTCCTTGAAGAAGTTATTCGTACCTTCTGTAACCTGGCTGCGTGCTCACAAAGATTTAAAGATCAGGATCAAGATCAGGATCAAATTTGAAAACTCTAATATTCTTCATTGTTTATCCTCATAGATTTAATATCTTATATTAATTTGATACCACTGGACTTACACTAGCAAATTTATGAAATTTTAGAATAAATTTATTGTTATTTTTGTAAGATACAGGCATTTAACAGTCGATCCAAATATTGATCCTGATCCTAAAACTGATCCTTATTTGATCCAAATATGTTTATATTAGTTTTGTTATTTGTTGATTTTATCTAAAAAATAGTTTGGTTTCTTTGTAAATCAGCATTTTTTTTGTACTTTTTGAATATTTACCGTTTAATTTTAGCAAACCACGATAAATGTTAGTGACATAAAACAATGAAAATGAAATCAGGATCACTTGATCTGATCCTGATCTTATCTTAGAGAACTTATTCGTATTTATGCAATTTACAGGGCACTACATTATATTACATTATGCAATTTACAGGGCACTACATTATATTACATGCAATTTACAGGGCACTACATTATATTACATTTTGCAATTTTCAGGGCACAACATTATATTACATGCAATTTACAGGGCACTACATAATATTACATTATGCAATTTACAGGGCATTACATTATATAACATTATGCAATATACAGGGCCCTACATTATATTACATTATGCGATTTACAGGGCACTACATTATATTACAGTATTACAGGTCACTACAGCATAGTACATTATGCAATATACAGGGTACTACATTATATCACAAAATGCAATTTACAGGGCACTACATTATATTACAGTATGTAAGTTACAGGGCACTACATTATATTACATGCAATTTACAGGGCACTACATTATATTACATTATGCAATTTACAGGGCACTGCATTATATTACATTATGCAATTTACAGGGCATTACATTATATAACATTATGCAATATACAGGGCACTACATTATATTACATTATGCGATTTACAGGGCACTACATTATATTACAGTATTACAGGTCACTACAGCATAGTACATTATGCAATATACAGGGTACTACATTATATCACAAAATGCAATTTACAGGGCACTACATTATATTACATTATGTAAGTTACAGGGCACTATATTATATTACATGCAATTTACATGACATTACATAATATTACATTATGCAATTTGCAGGGCACTGCGTTATATTACATTATGCAATTTACAGGATTCCAGTGATGACGATGAACAGAAACTTAACCAATTGATGAAAGACATGTTTCCACTTCTCCAGTGTAATAAATTCATTATATCTATTTACTAATCTTATTTAATATATTACTAATCTTTATCAATTTAATGCCAGTCTTAATAAATAACAACCACAAGAACTTGAAGTTCTATCAAATAACCAATATTTACGATAAAATATTAAAAAAAAAAAAAAAAAAAAAATTGCACCATACATATGGTTTTTTTGTTGTTTATATTATTGTTAATATTGGTAATTTGATAGAATTTCAAGTGCCTGTGATTACAACACTATTTTGCAGCAACAAAACAATATCTATCGATAAAACAGTACGTTTAAATTGATGACGTCACGAATGACGTCACTATCTAATTACGTTAATATTTCACGATATTGATTCGATAAAGCTCATAATGAGTCAATTTTTTTAAGGCAAAGAATGACAATTTCCATACTTATAGGCAGTTAATATATAATAGAGTTATCATTCATTTTTTTCATTAATTTCGCAGGTGTCAACCTTCAAGCCGAGAGAGAAGAAGTATTCGTTGCCGTATCATTGAACGACAAGAACGGTAGGCCCCTACATATGTTTCTTTTTTAATACTTTTGCTTAAGCGTTTCGATTTTATATGTATAGTATGTCTATAATAAACGATTGATACAAAGATTAAATTGATGTTAAATTACAATTTCGACGTCACATTTGTTTGTCAACGTTAATATATTAAACTGTCATCAAACAGGTTAAAGGAGCTTAAATAACAAGGATACAAAATCTAAAAATTAAAAAACGTAAAATTTGACATTCCTCTTTAGATAAAGTGAAGGGAGTTCTTAAAAAAGAAAAATCTGTAAAGGATAATAGATAATTATACAAACTATTTTAATTGAATGTTAATATTCTTTGCAATGATAAACCCCAAAAAAGTATAGTTCCAGCCCCGTCAAGTCATAAAGCTTCAGTGAAGTCCCTTTAAGATTTTTAAAACTCACTACAGTGTTGAAGACGCTTGCAGAAATCATGAAATATCAAGCGCCTTGTCCGGTATATACCGGAATACGGTATTTAGTGTGGTGCTCCAATCTCACTCGTCTAAGATATATATGAGCCGCGTCACGACAAACATAGTGCGTTTGCGATCAGCATGGATCCAGACCGCGCAGTCTGATCAGGGCTTACAAACCCTATAACAAATTAAGTAGAGAAACTGATAGCGAACAGCATGGATCCTGATCAGACCGCGCGGATGCGCAACATGGTCTGGATCCATGCTGGTCGCAAACCCATTATGTTGATTTTGTCATGACGTGGCTCATATATTCAATATATTTTATAGCCGAGGAGGACGTGTTTTTGAAAGAATCTCAACAACTTGCTGATGTCTGTGAGAAAGTGTATGAATCCGCCAAAAAGGAGGAAGAAACATTCAAAGACAATTTGAAAAAGATGTCCTCAGAAAAACGTGAAAACGCTATGGATATGCTCAGAAGGTTCCTTTCCACGAAAAAAGTACGTATTTTATCACGAAAGTATATTTATAAATCACACTAAAAATGGCCACGCCGAAGCTAGGACTCGAGCCACGGGTATCTGGATTGCCGGTTAAGTGTAGTAACAACATAGTAACAACAACATACCGCGGTTATTATGGACGTTGGAACCATAACCATCTGTAAGAAATGATATTTAACCTGTTTGAGTTGTGAAATGAACTTGCACTGTTTTGAATTCGTGCTTGAATCTTGAAGGAATACTTTATCAGAGTACAACAGATATGTGCAGGTTAATAGTTGAACAAAAGGTCTTACTTGATATGATCAAAATGAGGAATCAAATAAATATGGCTGTCGGATGGATTTCGATTACGTCAAGACTGGCGTCATTTTATTGTATTTTTAATGCTCCTACCTTGACACCATTCTTGTTTTTTTTTGTTTTTTAATTAGATCTAATGTTTTATTTTTACATTTCAGGCTTAAAGGCTTAAAACATACACATGGATAAGATCTCCTTCCGAGCACACCGACCACGGCTAACGGTTGATTAGATTGACGGCATTTTTTTATAATTTTATAAATATTCAAAAAATAAAAATATAAGTTTTATTATATGTATTAATTCTCGTTGTGTTCTAGTCCCGTATCTTTTTTAGTTTGTCGTTTGATGATAACATGATGACTTAATCTGATTGTTTGAAGCTATATATGTATTGGCCTATTTCTCCCGGAAATGACCTTTGACTTTTTCCTCCTTTCTATGACCGCATTCAGCTATACCCTTTCACTCTTAACCGAAAAGCAAGGGGAAAATTACCCTGCTTGCCTGGAAATGATATTTCTTCACAAATATATCTTCCGATGTTTAAGGACAGTGTGAAGAGACTCGCCTCCAGATGGTATAATAAAAAAAAATGAAATGAAATAAAATTTCATGTAAACGGTTAATTTAACATTATACACTTGACACTATATAATGTTTTTGAGGAGGGATTTTGAAATATTAGTACGACGGTAGTTTTTCTGTTATCTTCTGGAGTCCTGCTGCTTTAAATCGAGCTCATTCGACACAATTAAGGCGTATTTTCGACTTTGCGGATGGGAAATCCAGATTTCCCTTGACTTCGAAAACAAGACATTAAGCAGATGACTAAAATACAATAGGCAAGCCAGCAAAAAACAGAGCTGTAAAAATAATAATAATAAATAATCAACCCAAACAAGAGAATCAACCTGTTTTCATAGGCCACGGATCATCGGGATGCCCCTCCCCTCCTCCCGCATTCCAACCATTGTCAGTCTACGTACAGACAGCGCGACGAAAGTACATCAGGGAAAAATAACAGCGGGTTAGAGGTACGGAGGACAAAGGCAAAACAAGAAACTAACCAATTAAACAATTCCTACATATATAATCACCATCTAAAATACCGTACTTGTTTAAATGTCGATATACGAATGCTTAGAACCTTAAAGTTCTGAAAGAAGTAAAAAAAAAAGCTCAATGTATGATTATTTTCTCTATTTCTATAAAGAGCAAACAAATATGTTTTTATTGTCAATGAATTAACAGTAGTGTGTATAAATAATTATAAGTATTCAAAACAAATGAAGTAAACAATGTTTTTTTGTTGTTTTTTTTCAATAAAGTTAATTAACCAAAACAATTTGACGTCAAAGATAGAAAACTAAATAAACAAAAAAATGAATAAATAAATAAATACGTGTAAATACATAAATGAATAAATAAAAATAAATAAATAACTAAACAAATAAATCTGTAAATAAATAAATAAATTAATTAATTAACAATCAAACTTGATGGTCATTCTTATCAGTTTTTCAGATGTATAAGATTTCAGATAATTTTTTTTAAAAAAATTCTCATATAATGAAAACTCAAATTTAAACTTTAAAATAGACTTGTAGTTGAAGTTTATGAAGTGTCAGTGATAATCTTCTTTCATTACTTATCAAGTTATGCGCCTAAAAAGTTCAAAAAATTTCCCTTGTGACCACATGTCTTAGTCTTGACTGTACAATTTCCGTAACTACCACTCAAATTCACACACACTCCCGATTACAAAGTTCGGACTGTCGCACGGCGCATCGTCCCATGTGTAGTCTGTGTTTGCCGTTCGTTGGTACAACATGATGCAGTACTCCACGTTACCTTCACCTTGGTTTGGTTGCCCCGGATACCAGTTCTCAAACACTGTACTAACTGGTGTGCCGTCTAGCCACGCGAACCCGCTCGAGTTATCCCTGGCGCCAACCCAGTACAAGTTGACTGAAAATATCGATATACAAACAAGTACTTATTTAAATCACATACAATATGATAAACAAGATCAGCAAGGAACGGCGGCGTTCAATGAACGCAACCCCCACACGACCCAGCAACAAGGAGCCCAGGCGGACCCCAAACAAAAACAGGACAGGGCACAAGGCAAAGCACAGACAGGCTAATCACTTAAATGATAACTAATTTGTAACTGATAAGGAATTCAAAGAAAAAAATTAAAAGATTGAATAATAGGCCACAAAGTCAAAGGGCACAGGGGAAGGGGATAGGAGATTCGGTGAAACCAAATTTAGAAAACACATTGGGCTTCTTTTTGTTGTGTTCTGAACAAGACATTTATTTTTGAACTGAATCCTATAAATATCCAATTTAAAGGTAATAATACACTCGTCATGGCAAATGAAAAAATAAGATTTTTTTTATTATTTACATGAAATCAAAATATAATAATAATAATAATAATAATAATAATAATAATAATAATAATAATAATAATAATAATAATAATAATAATAATATAAATAAATGAATAAATAAATAATAACAACAACAAGAAACATTGCAGTTTAACGGACCAATTTTTGAGCAATATATTCAAAAGAATATCATTTTTTTATCATATTACTAATGTGTAAGTTTACCAAATGAAAAAAACTTAAATAATTTTCTGAGCTTTTCCTTTAGCACCAGTACGATATTCATTCTTTTTAAATTCAAGTATTGAGTTAAAAGCGGGCTCTGAGTGATTGGATAGCATAACATTCGCCATTTATTAATTTTTTCTTTATCAAATATGTCTCGGGGGGGGGGGGGCAAAAAAAAAAAACAACACCAAGCAAGAAATTCTATATAATATATATCACAGAAACAGGTCGAAATTCGAAGCTAGCTTGAAATAGGATTTCGATCTATGCTTTCAGACTTTGATGTTACTTTTGGATAAATATTAAAAGCTTAAATGAATTACACAAAATAATCTTTTTTCTAAGTGTGAATAAGTTACAAAAAAATAATCTCACCTGTTGATGGGAGAAAGTTGTCCTCTATAAATCTTTGTTCTTCCATAGATTTGATATCAGCCAACCTCCCGCCCAGATTTTCACAGTTCGCCTGGAAGTTACATGCCAAAGATTTAAAACCGTTACGAACGTAAAACATTTTGAGCAAATACACAAGTACAATCATATATCAGGGACGAAAATCTAAGAAATGTCTTTAGGCGTGGATTTATTTTTAGAAATTTTTGCTTCTATATTCTGTCAAAATCTTTTACTTGTTTCATAATATCAAGTTTAATCCTATTTATCTTTTGTATATCTCTTGTCATATTTTTGTTTGTTTCTGTTACTCACGCAAAACAGCCCTACAAAAGCAAATCCTTGTCAAATAAAATTACGTGCACGTCTAAATTTGTTAAGGCGTAGTTCACACATTATTTATTCAATAAATTGTACATAAAATAACATTTACAAACGTTTACAAACATTTGACAACAATGTAATTCAGACTGGATCGATAAGAAGTAAAACAGTTTTTATATCATTATTCCTCTCTGGTTTAGGCTTACTTTCAATATTATACGTTTGAATATATGAAATCGATTAATGGCAAGGTACAATTTAAATGGTTACCGGTCCCGAATTAATTTTCTGATTTGACACCTGTTTGTCCTTATAATCTTTTTGTTTCTTATAATAATTTTAATTGGCGCATGCGTGTTTCTTGTGACACAACCTTAGCACAACATCTTATGCAGAACAGCACATATTTTAGTTGTTGCTACATAGTTGGGAAATCTAACTTTGGTCGTTGTACAAAGGTTACCGCTGTACAGAGAGACCGGCTAGACAGAGGTAATAGTATAAAAGCAATACACTAGCTCAAACTTCAGTTTTTTAGAATTGTAGGGCATTGTACACATGCATTTGTACGAAAGAAAGAGTTATGTTAAAAAATTCAAAAGTAAATATGCCAAATTATTTACCAATTCATTACAGAGTATATATCAACAGTGTAACATTTTTTTCCTTTTTCATTTTCATTGTTATCTCATTATAATTTGTAACCAATATGACTTAAGTTCAGACCTACTGTTGTTATTTCTTGCATGTCATACGTAACGTTTATTAGGAACTGCTTTTTCACTAGATGACTTCTTGAACATTAAAAATGCAGGCGTGTAGAAATTTTGTCGTATAACAAATTACTAGTTAAATAATTGGCTCCGTTCAGGTTTTTGTTATTTTGTGTGGTCATTTTCGTGTACGTTTGGTACCTTCAATTAAGGGCATATTACTTAACCCAGACCTATTTGAAATCATGAGTAATTGGCCCTTGCCAACGGGGCGCTCGTAAATCCATGCCGTCTGGCCAGGCTTTGTAATGTTGCCATAACAACGCCATGTTTTCATCTTGATATCCCCAAAACTGATAAAAAACCATGAAGCTGGACACTATTTTAATTGAACTATGAGTGTTAAGAATTAATACCTGAAATATTTTCTACTTACTTTTGCTTGCCACCAGTTCATGTTGTCAGTGACAAGTCTGTACACTGTAAATAACAAAATAGTGTATAATAATATAATTTTATAACAAAATATTATATACTCATGTTAAAGGAATTATCTGGAACTAACACATATGTACTTCCCGGCTGTTAAATTGCTACAGATATGTGTAACTGTACAATTCAGTTTTTTGTTTGTTTTGTTTTACATACATAGAGCGAGAGAAATATCAGGACGTGCTGTTTCACTGGACAGTAATAATACAGTTTGTACAATTACTATGCCAGTTGTGCAATAATCATATCATCCGCATAATAAATATGCCATCTGCAGGTTATTTTTATCATATGTACAATAATTATGCCCTCTGTACAATTATCAGACCATTCTGTACAAAAAGTATGCCATCTGTACAATATGTTTTATCTTATGTACAATTATAATGCCATCTGTAGAATAACTATACCATCCCCAACAATAATTAAACCATTATTATACCATCTACACAATATCTTTTATCATCTGCTAAATAGTTTTAGCATAATTATGTACAATTATTATGCAATCCCCTCAATTATTATACCCTCTGCACAACTGTTATAATGGCTGTACAATAATCATACCGTCTGCACAATGAACATGTCATCTGCAAAATATCTTTTATCATCTGCGCATATTTTTTACCATAATTATGTAGAAGTATTACACCATCTGCAAAATGGTTATGTCATCTGCACAATATATTTCATTATTTCCGCAATAATTATATCGTATGTAAAATTATCATACACTCGGCACAAAAGTCATATCATCGCAAATGATTAAACCATCTGTACAATAATGATGCCAAGTTTCTATAAAAACTTATATGATAATAATAAAATATACTATTCAAAGGATTATTCGTGTAGTACTGTTACAATACGATAGAGTTTAATTTTTAAAAGAATACTTAAATAATTTTCTTTAAAAAATGATGAGATCCAAATCTGCAAAAGGAGAGATCCCCCGGAAGCAAAGACAATCTTGCATCTTATTATTCTTTCACGATGAATTAAATCATCTAGTTTAAGAAATTACATCAGTCTTATTGTTTCAAAGAAATGATACCAGCCTTGCTTCCTTAAATTCTTAAACTATTATTTCAGACTTGCTGCTTTATAAAGTTGACGAGATAATACATATTTGCATGCCAGTTAATAGAATATTCAAGCGTTGCTTTTTACGATAATAGTGACATCATATATGAATTGCTTTCTAATAACTAGAAAATGAATATTCTATCTCTAATTATATAAAAAAAAACGCATACAGAATATAATCCCGTACTCTATATCTAACTCAACATACCTTGTATTTATCTATGTATTTATCTATCTTCTAATGATACATATATACAAAATATATTCTTTTATTATTTCACTATATCTTTGAAATTATCACATTAATCTTGTTATAGCACTTGCGCCCTTTTTTGCATTAAACATTTATAAACTGCGCTTGAAAAAAACAGCCACCGTCTACACCAAAACTGGTTCTACAAGAACTGAACATAGAAGTTCCCATGATTTATCATGATTATTATCATTCAACTTTTTTACTTACCGTCACGGTTAAAATGAGCCAGACCCGGGGTTTGGATCGGCTCGAGATCTGGTAAATACCATCGACAACCAGTACACTGTATCCTGAAAGGCTCGAACTTGACGCCAATACACGTAGATTTCTTCTGACACTTGAGCAGGCATTCCGCCAGTGGTATGGTCTGAATAATTTTGAACGATGTCAAGTTGTCAGGACACAAAAATCCATTATTCCAAAGAAACTTATTAAACCCAACAGGTCCCGCTATGGCTGTATTATCACTTTGTCCGTAGATCGCAACAGCGATGATAAAAAGAGCTGTACCAAACATCGTACCTGTTGCCTTGTTGTCGATAAAACTAAACTATGGCGATAATACGATATTGCGTTGAAACAGATAATACAAATATTTGAATTAAACTGGAAATTGATTGGTGTCTTTGATAACAAAATACTTTAAACCTATCAAGTTTGATATTAGATAGGCCTTAATTAGATTTTTATTTAAATTAGGACACATGGTATTAATTGATATCATTGTTTGTCATTTCATCGGTGAGGCTAAGTTTCCTTTTTGTATGTAATTTATAATACAGAAACATCACACTGCGTATTGATACACGATTTTTGTTTGCATACTGTTAATATCAAATGATATAGAAATGTTTTATTTGTTTTCCAAAACAATTTATATATTTATTCAAGAAATAAAAAAATATATATAATACTTTTCAATACATTCAAATGTTTACCAAGAACAAATTAACAAATAAAGTTAGTGTGCGCATTGAATAATTAATAACTTGGCTACGATCATGTTATCATTGTCATATCTTGTCGCAAAAAACTAAGGTAATAATTAGGATCAATTTAAACTTTTTCCACCCATTAGCCAAGTGCTTACCTTGGTTACCGGTTATTGAATTTTCTAACCGTACCTGTTAAACGGATGCACGTTCATTTTTATTTCTCAAACACTTTTATTTTTGGCATCTCATTACAATTTTCAAAAAGAAAAAAATATTTTTACTTCTTTTGTTTTGTTGGCACTTGGATTTATTAAAGTGAATTAATAAGTATTTTGTATGGAGGTCAAAATACTACTTTGTTTACATTTTGCTACCTGTATGTACATAATTACACATTCAGCACATATTTCGTCAGTTGTTAAACATCTAATATGCTCTAAATCAATTATTAAAACATTATAAAACACACAATTATTTGAAATTCTAAAGAATTAAAAAACATGATTTCTGAGGCATTATGTGCCTTTAATGTATCTAAAAATGTGTCCACTTTATTAAAGTTTACACAGAATTAAGGTTATTTTGATTGTATAGAAAGCTATTATAAACATACGAATCCGGTCCTGGAACCAACCAGAACTGAATAATGGGTGTATACTTTCTTGATCAAGGAGCAATTACCTGCCATGTACGGGCTTGACATTGAATAACATTCTAATGAAAAAATATTTAACATCAACAACACGTTTTAACTTGTTATGATATTAAACTCGAGCAATAAGAGTACAAATGTAGGTATAAGTACTTGGACAATCAACAATATACGGCTTATTTAAATAGAACAAATATACCAATGACATTTCATATGAATGTTGGTCGACCATTTTCTTAAGTAAACAGATATCATGTAACGGAGTACATAGATACAGGAGACTATTTATTAGCCAATCGCAACTGTTCGGCCCTTTCCGTCAGACTTTGGATAAGGCAATCGCAACTTTTCGGCACTTTCCGTCAGTCTTTGGATAAGGACCTTGAACACAAAAGTATGAATACACAGAACGATAGGTAAACAAATAGTAATTCAATGCTTCTAGTTGTTGACAAGTTTTTCCCCAATATATCAAGTAAACATTCACCTTAAATAAGTGAATTAATAGATACAAAAAAGCAAACAATACATTAATTAGACATTTTTATTATGATTGTAGAAGCCGAAAGTACAAAGTGCCAACCTGTTGACATTAAATCCGTTTTGTTTAAAATTGTACATCAATGGGAATATTTATATAAAAAATTGTTGTCAGACATATTTTCAATCATAATTGTACAGAAACAGACATTTCTTTTCTTTTGGATGTCAACTATATACATTCGTTTTACATTATCAAAGATTACACTCTCTGTTTCAATTGACATCTAGAGAGAATCACGCCGTTCGTTACCCAAACAAACAAGTTGGCGGATGTAGCCAAAAAGTAAGTTTTTCCTTTTCTTCTCTAAAATTTCGTCATGGTATAGTGTAAAGGTATATAATTATGATAACCTTCTTCACAATGTTCAGGGCCATTTTACCAAGGCTAACTGTGCATTATGTCAGTTAGTGTAAGAACGTGCTCTTAAGGGGCTTCTGGTCTCACTACTTAATGAATTTAAGCTGTTGTTTTTTTACAAAATTTATACACTGCATATTCAGGAAGAATAAATCGCCTCAAAACATTCTTCAGACATAGAAAGAAAAAAATACAGCAAATTTACTATCTCAAAATAATTGATATTTTTTGCATCAGGTATAAAGAAAAAGTAGAACAAAAACAATTATAAGTTTATCTTTTGATAAAAGGTTTTAATTATGTTATCTTTACCTTACTTTCAAAGTGGCATGACATTCCAATCATTTTGAACTAAATAATAACTAAAAAAAATAGACAAGACAGAGTTATGTTTTTTTGCACTGCACTTATGCTAAATGAAATATATCTACATACAGAGTTTCACGTTGATATCTGTTACAGCTTTAGAGTTATGTCTTTCGGACAAAGTTCAAAGTGTAAAAATAAACAAGGGGCAATAATTTCAAAATAAGCCAAGTCAGAGTTATGTTTTTTTTGCACTGCGCTTCTTCTTAATAAGGTCTATCTACCTACAAAGTTTCATGTTGATGCCTCATGTTGTTTCAAAGTTATGTCCCGGACAAAAGAAAAAAGAAAAAAATGCAATTACAATTCTCAGATACAAACTAAGCCAAAGAAAAAAGG